CAAAATTAGAGCCCAATTGGGAAAAACTTTTGGCTCTGATCGGGCAATCTCAAAAAATTTATAGCAAGGAAATTTTGTCATAATGGGCAACAATTTTTGTGCCCTCAACTGGCACGAAAATCAGCTAGCATCATATAAGTGCATTTACAGAAAAAAAATTATAACTCGAAAACGACGAATTTTAGCATATTGCTACTCGTACTGAAAATAGTTTATACTATTCCCTAATAGACAAAGAAGTTTGAGAGAAATGTGGCAATTTAAAAAAAAAATCAATTTGAAAAAAAAAATTTTTTTTTGTTTATAAACAATAATTACTTATTAATAAACAATTACTGATGTTTAGTTCACTAGATCGATTCAGTAGATCAACATCTGCAATTTAAAAAAAATCGTTAAGATCCTTGCTTTTTTGCGGCAGTTATAAACGATTTCATCAAAAGTTACTATTAAGAGAGGAAAAAAGAAGCGTTCGTACTCAAAAAGAAAAAAATTCATTATTCGAAAAATTCGCATTTCTGAGCAAAAAGAAAAAATCCGTGTCTCCTTAAATTGTTCAAGGAACAATCCCTGTGAGTTTTATCGCAAACTTAAATTCACTTTCCCCCGGCCTGGGTGATTTGAGATGGAATGAGCCATATAGATACGCGTGTTCATAAGTAGATATGAACAGTTATAATTCACAATTGAGCACATTCTGGAATAAAATGTCCCACCAGTCACAATGAATTGACCCATGTATGTATAGAAAATAAATTGTGGTATTCGCGTCCGAAAGACCTTAATATTATTTTTCTTGTGTTGTGATTTGCAGCTGTGCCCAGCGTTGCCGTGTTGTTTAATTTTTTCTAGAATTCCTATCAAACGAAAGCAAAAACAAAAATAGAAGTGCATGCACTATCGTGAACTACAGAAACAGAAAGAACTTTTCTTTCGACCGCTTGACACCTGAAACATAACCAAATTTGATTTCCCTGTTTTCAGCGTCAATAAGCATAAAAGTATAGTTTAAAAAACTAAAACCTCCCTATTATGTCTAATTGCCATTCGTACTGTCATCAGGTATGTAACTTGAGAATAGAAATCGCTGCATCTTTTAGGCCATCAATATTACATAGTTACATCCCGAGCTAATAAAAGGAAGGTAATAATAAAAAAGTCTGCCTACTCTTCAAATTGCACTCGATTTCGATCATTCTTTTTTTTTATGTTCGCCATTAATTTAATGTTCACATTAATTTTGCTAGGAGATGCTTTTGTCATTTGAATAGTCGTAAAAGTTTGAAGTGCTAGTATGTACCGAATGTAATTCTGCCATGAAGGCAAGTGCTGCTACATATTTTGTTGTCACTTATGATTGCCCCATAGTGACAAGTTGTTTACGAGACTTACAATTGCTATAAATTTAGCTTCCATTTTCACAGATTTACTGATATGGTGTCTTCAAACTAACCAAAAAAAAGACCAAAAAACGCACTAAGCATCAAACTCAAATATTTTCGTGTTTTGAATTTAAAAAAAAACACTAAATTTAATGCGAAAAGCACAAAGTTGGCAACAGTGTTTAATCCTCCAGGAACACTACTAGTTAAAATCATTTAAGGTTTCACAGATGTTGATATACGTTTACTATGCTTTAAAATACATAAGTTAAAGGCCCTAAGTCTAACTGAACGTTCCATCGAAGATGTTTGAAATTGGGGTAAAAACACCCCTGCTTACCATGTCGCGGTAGTTTTCCGAAAGCCGAAAAAACTACATATAGATAATACGCGCGCCGGGTGTTTTTGCAGGGAACTAGCAACAAAATATGGTTTAGGAAAAATGCGAAGGTTAAATTGTGGAAATGTTTTTTTAAATTTATAAATCGTAAAATACAATAAAAGGCATCGGGATCCATAGAAAGAACTATTAGCGGTCAAGTCCGTAGATAGATACACTTACCTTAATGAAAATAAAACAAGTAATATTCATGATAGAACGGTAAACAGAATGCATATAACTGACAATCAGAGACAATAGAAATAAAAGTAAATGGTTGCTCAGCATGATTCAATAATAAAAGGTTTGTTCAGAAAACAGTTTTCTCGCTCTCTCTTGACAAAATCGGCTGCCTTAGCAAGGCACTGTGTGTGGGTTTGTGTGTGTGTGTGCAAAGCTTTTGTAAGGGAGTTAAGGGAGTGTGAAAACTCTAATGTCAATAATGAGCAAACCTTTAATTATTGAATCATGGTTGCGCAGTGCGTTATAAATGAGTTTTTCTTTTAATTATTCCAAATAACGAGTAAAATAACGAACAATTTAAGCATATGCAATTTATTCACGAATAACTCATCAAA